GCTGAATGCGTGAATGCAGCCATGTTCCGGCCATGCCCCGAGCGCCTGCGCAGTCCGTGGACTGGCGGCGGGCGCGCTGCAGGAGCCGAGACCCCCGCCCCGGCACACGCACGCGGATGGGAACGCGGGCGCGCACGTGAATGCGCTTCACCTCACACAACCCGAGCCGCCCGGCGCGGAGGAGCCAGGGCGCGAGCGCAGGAGGCGCGGCCCAGAGCGCGAGCTCCTGGGAAGAAGCGGCGGCGGCGGCGGCGGCGCGACGCTGCACTCAGGTGTCCCGGCTCTGGGGATGCGCGTGTCCTCCACGTCGCACCCGCGTGCTGGCTGGCCCCGGGGCCGAGTACCTGACACCCCGGCCGCCCGGCCTGCGCCTGCTCCGGGCTCCCCTGCGCCGGCCGGCCGGCGGGGCGCTTCTGCCCGCAGCGCCCCTGGGCTCCTCGCCAGTGCCCTTCTCCTCCGGGCGGGCGGCGCGGCCTCAGGATGAAGTGTAAGCCCAACCAGACGCGCACCTACGACCCCGAGGGCTTCAAGAAGCGGGCGGCGTGCCTGTGCTTCCGCAGCGAGCGCGAGGACGAGGTGCTGCTGGTGAGCAGCAGTCGGTACCCAGACCGCTGGATCGTGCCGGGCGGAGGCTTGGAGCCCGAGGAGGAGCCCGGCAGCGCGGCGGTGCGCGAGGTGTACGAGGAGGCGGGGGTCAAGGGGAACTTGGGGCGGCTACTGGGCGTCTTCGAACAGAGCCACGAGCCCAAGCACCGAACGTACGTGTTCGTCCTGACGGTCACCGAGCTGCTGGAAGACTGGGAAGACTCCGTCAGCATCGGCAGGAAGCGGCAGTGGTTCCGAGTCGAAGAGGCCATCAGGGTGCTCCAGTGCCACAAGCCCGTGCACGCCGAATACCTGGAGAAACTGCAGCTGGGCGGTTCCCAAGGCAATGGCCTCTCCACCGCCTCGTCTCCGCCGGATAGCCAGTCCTAGTACGTACCGCTTCTGCATCGACTTCGGCTTTTCTGCCTCCCTTCAATCCAGGCATGCCTGCAGCACCTCTGATGCCATGTGCGCTCGCCAGCGGAGGAGGGAGGCTTCTTTTGTTTCCTTGGCAAACATCTGAATCATGCTGGCAAAGGGTCTCAGTTGCCAGGCAAGCTTTTCAGATGCATTGAAAATCCCTTCCCTTCGTAGTGAACGGAAGCCTAGTGATTTTTGTTGTGTGTTTTTAAAGGTGCCTTAACTGCTCAATCCTTCCTACTGGGAACTAGCTGTACTGTGTTAGTTGTCCCGCCCCCCCTGCCAATAAGTGTATCTGTGTGATTATGTATGTGCATATTTTGTACCACTCTTGTGGGTTTTGTTTTGTAGTGGAGGAGGCCTTTAAAATTCTTTAAGCTCCATTGTGTGGGCATGTTGTATCTTTTTTCCCTTCTAAATTGTTTTTTCATTTATAGCATTAGCCCTTCAATAGTGGGAACTGGTTTAAAAGCTCAGTTTGGAATAGTTACCTCCCTCAAAAAAAAAAACCTAGAAAATTTAGTTTGTGATCTTTCTTAACTACACACAGCCATAATTATATCTTGAGAAATATAACACTCACAGAAGTATCTTTTGCTATTTCTGTATCAATTAATTTTCACAGCAATTTCACAATTCGTGATTTCTTCACTACCAGCTTGAGGTAGTCGTTTCCCATAGAGTTCAAGTATGGTTTAACAAAGCATTACCTTATACAGGGCTCCTGATGCTACAAACAGTGAAGGTGCATAGCTGTCTACAGAAATGTGGGCAATTTTAGTCCACCCAGAGTACCCCGGAAGAAATACCGGGCAATTTACCTTCTAAAAGTAAGCCATGGAAAAAAACCTATGAAGCGCAGTTCTGCAGTTGTATTCCTACGGAGTCACCATGTGGTCAAATCCACTGACATGCAATTTAGTTTGTTGTTTACCTTATTTCTCTGAGCGCAGTATTATTAAGCAGACACACTTTAATATACAGATGGTCTGTGTGTATTTAATTCAAATTTGTAGCTAAGTCAGAACAAGTGCATAGTGGTGATTCTGTCAGATAAGCATTGGACAACTAGCTGAAAGGTTCAAATCTAGCTGCTCTACTCCGAAGAGAAAGATCATGCTCTCTGCTCCTGTAAAAATTCAGTCTCAGTAACCCTTATATAGGGTGCTCTGACTCAGAATCAACTCCATGGCAGTGACGTTAGTATAAGAAATAAGTCCTGGTAGCACAGAGGGTTAAACATTGGGCAGCTAACCTCAAATACAGCTGTTCAAACAAGTTCAACTACTCCACACAAGAAAGAAGAGATTATCTGCTCTTGTAAAAATGTACAGCCTTGGAATTCACACGGAGCAATCCTGCTTTACAGAACTTCTCTATAAGTCCTATTGGATCACTAACTCTAAGTTGGAATTGACTTGATGGCAGTAGGTTTGGGGTTTTGAGTTAGTACAAGAAAAGTCTTAAAGCCTTTCCAGTGATTTAAGAGCTACGCAGGTAGCAAGTGTAGGTGATTTGTGAAGAAGAATTGTTTCCAGTAGGGATTGGTTCATTTTTTTCAAAGTGAGGGTAAATTGACATAACATTAAAGAGCAAGTATGAACTATCCGTAGGTGAGGCTTTGGTAACCTAAAGTAAATAAAAAACAAACTCCCTGCCATTGAGTAGATCTCGACATATCTACCCTAGAAGAGAGGGTAGAACCTCCCCTGTGGGTTTCTAAAACTGTAATTTTTTTATGGGAGTTAAAAGCCTCAACTTTTTTCCCTGAGAAGGAGGCTGGTGATTTTAAACAGCAGACCTTGCAGTTAGCAGGTCCCTGGTAACCCAAGGACTTCCTCTATATACCTTGTCAGGAAAACTCCCTTACCCTTTTCTCTTGGCTCCCTAGAAAATCCATGGTTCACTCAAAAATGAGTTTCTGGGGGAAAATGTTATTTTAAAATTTAGTGATATTGCTTTTAAGCTTTCCTGGCTATCAGGAATGGATGGATCTTATATAGGGATTACATTTCAATGGACTGAAGTAGCATTATTTATATTCAGTTGTTATAGATCTCTCAAATTCATAGGACATCTGAACAATCTCTTAAAGAGCATGGGTAAATGTTTTGTCTAATATGGCCAACGTTTTTGAGGATTGGATTATGAACTAAATTTCTCTGATACTTTGCTGGATCCCATTAACAATCCCATCTAAAATACACAGATGTCTTCTTGAACAGCCTGTATTCCCCCAAGTCACGTCAGAAATTACATAAGGGGAAACCCCACTTTGTGGAGAAGTATGGAGGTGAAATTCCTAATTCTTTGGGAAATCTACATTATGTTATGTTATATCTCTTAAGGATTATTGGTAGATATTTTGTGTCAAGTAACTTAATTTTGAATCACTGTAATGTACTCCATATTAAGAAATTTGGGGTTTTACTCTAAAGTCTAGATTCTTCTGATGGAACACTTCATCTCTGAGGAAGACTGAGAAAACGCCTACTTTGTGACAAGAAGATGAAGAGAGAATATCTTTTTACAAGCTTGGTAACATCTTAAGACTATTCAACAGATGATAAAGTATAAAATGGACAATAAATATAACTTAACTGTTTTGTTATTTCACAAATTACCCTTTTAGTAAGAATACAGTGGTCTAATGTAATGCTGTTATTTTGTAAACTTTGGTGCTGCTGCAGTTTTCAAATAAGGTCCTTGCCATATATAAATACAGCTTTATGAAGTCCATATTATAGTTAACAAAAAGTAAACTGATGCTGTCAAAGAATGAATAGATTAGAAAATGAGTACGTTTTTAAGACCAATTATACAATTTCATTACAAATTTTGCAGAATGATAAAATGTCGCTGTACAAAATGATTTCTTTGTACAGAAATAATGTCATCTTTTTAAATGCCACAAATTTACCTTTTCTATCTGAATATTCCAAATGAGCTCACAGGTAGCCTCAGTAACTTGGAATTCTTTAAAATATACATTAGCAAGAGGGAAATGGGATTATTGTATTAGATTTTATTTCATACATAAAATTGAATCCAAAATGCTGACACAAATACCAGGGAGATTTAACTCACATGTAACATATTTCCAAGTGGAAATTCAAGATCTTACTTCTGAACTATGTGCTGGAAAAAAATGTGAAAAGTAACTGTTGAAGTTAACTAACTGTCCAGAGTTGTCTGTCTGTAAATCTTTTGCTGTCTATTGTTCAGAATTTGCTTCAGTGCTCACATGTCTTCTATTCACGCAGTTAGTAAAACTTCCAAGGCTTCGCGCCCCCCCCCCACGCCCTCCACCTATTAAAACAGATCATGATTCAGTTACTACTCTTCAAGTTAAAATGTCAAAGTCACATAGGTAATGCTTGCCGAATATGATCCTTGAGTTCAGTTTAGAAAAATAGAAGAGTCCAAGTATATTCACCTTAAAAAATAATTTTTTAAAGTCCAAGTAAATAAACTGCTGGTGTCTATAACCACCATCTTCCAAAAGTTTGATGCGCCGTTGGGATTTCCTCTTTATAATCATTACATAGCACTTACCCATTATTTATGTAATGATTACACTAAAATTGTGTAGCTGGCTTTTTCCAACCACTACCCCATAAAACAAGGTAAATAAAAAGAAACTGCACTGATCAAAGCTAATTAAGGCTTTCAAGTATGAAGTAGAATTTTTCTCATCCATGTTTTATAAAAGCCTGGTTTTTATCTCCAACTTGACAAGTGCTTATTCCTATCCTAAAAATGTTTTAAAGGAGACATGCTGGAATAAAGGTAATATTGGTATTCTTGATACACGTTTACTTTAGATAGCTAATGTATATTATTTTCTAAGAAATCAATGTTCTGTTGATCAGATCATTGTTATCTCTGAAAGGGGGTGGGAAGTGGCTATAAATATTTTGAATTCTTTTGTATGGTTTCACTAGAATTACTGTAAAGATTTCAACATTTTTGTATTTTGAAACAGCAAGTAAAAGTGTTTAGAAAATATATAAGTGTGAGCAGGAAGAGACATTTTAAAATGTGACAGCAATATTAGAGGACTTTTCTGAGGGTCTTAGCCTCATTTAAAGGACTCTAAGCAGGGACTTCTCTTTCTCTCACTTATTGTGGAATCATAAGAGCAGCGATTCTCTTATCAATAACTGAGAGTGGGGGCTGAAAGTGCTATTTGATAGCCTACAATACTAACAGGTGGGCTGAGCTTTCCTTTTCAGTGTTTCTTTTGTAGACTTCACCAGACAACACAAGAAATCCTGCTGGTATTGTAATCATCTTTCTGAATGACTGTTGGTCTATGACAATAAACTGTTTAAGGACCTGAACCCAGAGCGAATCTTCTCCATATCCCCAAAGCCCGAAACAGTAATGGAATTTGGAGACACTGATCAAGAATATCTACTGCTAGTGTATTCCTGAGTTCTTAGTTTCTTAAAATACCTGGAATTATGTGTTTTTCTCTCTCAGGCTTGGATCTGATTTTGCAGTGAAACAGCAATGGATAATTCACCGAAGGATTTTCCAGTGAAAAGTGGTTGATGAATATAGTTGGTTCTAGAAAAATATTTGTTCATTAGAGGAATTAATATGCCAATAAAATATTTTTAAAGTGAAGTGAAAAGCTTAATTGTTGTTCAGTATTACTTAGAAAGAATCAAATATGTGAACCCAATGATGAATGGAATGGTGAAGCACAGGTGAGCTCTTTCATACTCCCAAGGACACATCTTCTCCTATGTGATAGTTAGGCTTGATCTCAACTTGGCTGGACCAGGGTTCTCCCATGACATGTTCTAACATAGTGTGGTCAACTTCATGATGGGATCTTCTGTGAAGCAGCCAAGCAGCTGTGAGAAGAATAAGGTAGGGTACTACTTGCTTAATCTAGTCATCAAACTCCCTGTTATTGAGTCGATGTCGACTCATAGCAACCCTATAGGGCTGGATAGAACTGCCCCTGTGAGTTTCTAAGACTGTAACTGTTGATTGGAATAGAAAGCTCCATCTTCTTCCTGGTGATTTTGAACCACTGACCTTGCAGTTCGAAGCCTAAGGCATGACCACTATGCCACCAGAGTTCCTTAGTTTGGTCACAACTTTTAAAATAAAATTTTATTTATTATTTTTAAAGATCATTTGATTGGGGGCTCTTACAGCTCTTACAACATTCCATACATGAATTGTATCAAGCATATTTGTACATATGTTGCCATCATTATTTTCTAAACATTTACTTTCCATTTGAACTCTTGATATCAGCTTCTCTTTTTTCTCTCCCCCACCCTCATGAACCCATGATAAATTATTATTTTCATAGTTTACGCCAGGGTGACATCTTTGATAAAACTGAAGGAGGTTTCATTCAGTGTGGCCTACTCTAAGTACAGATTAACACGGAAGAAGCTAGCTCACTTCTGCTGGATCGAAATCCTGCATCTGGTGCTATCAGCAGACTGACAACCTCGGGTTCATTAAGCTCTACACCCACCAGCTGAAAGGTCCTTCTGCTTTATCTCTCTGCTTCCTGTTCATCAGCTCCTGCAGTTTATTGGGAGTCCTAGCTTACATCTGATCCATAGACTTGAATCAGACTAGACTTGCCCACTTCTACAACCAAGTGAGCCATTTCTTTATATGAATCTTTTTCTATAGGGTTATGTTTCTCTAGAAAGTCCAGCCTAACTCAGACACCTCTCCCTAGGTATTATAATCACTATTCTGGTTGTTAAACTACTCCTGTATCTGTACAGGCTTCTAACTTGGCACCTGCCATTTTTGTGTGTGTGCTTTTATGACTATGTATTCTTCACCGGTTTATGTGACTTTGAATGTTAGGACTATGTTTTCTTATATTTAAAAACTGAAACAACTTTAAAATGGGTCAAATGGGGAGATCAAATGAGAAGTAAATACATTTTAACCTAACTACATCAGCCATACTTGACTTTATAATGCTCTCTGTATGATAGCAAGGCTATTCACGTCCTTCAACTATGGTAGAGGGAAGTGACTGGAGGCTTAATGCATGTGGAGAGCCCCTGCAAATGGATATTGGGCTTCCACTGTCATCCATAGCCTTCTGCAAATCAGATGTTCAAATTTTACGCTCTGATACCATTGTTTGGATTTGGGCTTTATTATTTACAATCCTTGGATCACATGGACTGGTGTGTATTTTCCATGTGGAATTAATTGACACCTCACTTAGATGACTGTTTGAAGACAATCCTTTTGTTTGAAGACATTATTCTTTCTGATATCCTTGTTTGAAGACATTATTCTTTCTGATATCCTGGTACCATTTGGTTTCTTTACCACACTTCACTATAGCACACATATCTTCAGTGATCTCTTCATGAGGGTGAGTATTGAGCAGGACCATGTCATAAGAATATTTCTTCGATTAGGACTACAATTAAGTGTGAGCCTAGGGTTCATTTATATATATGATCTATATATGCCTCTGGTTCATTTTAGACACACATTTTATGGTAGAGAACATTATCAGTCACCCACCCAGGCCACAAAGTAATTCTATTGATAGTGTCATGAATTTAGCCAATGGTATTGAACTTAATACATGTTGAGAAAAGGAAATTATATAAGAATAGGCTGACATCAGACTGAAGTACATAAATTGTTGATTTATACAGATTAAACCTTTATGTGACTAGACACTATTTACACAAACAACAGAGGATGGTTATAGGGCAAAACTTTCAATAAAACACATCAACAAAGACAGAACCATGACTACAAGATTAATACATGTCATAAAAAAGCAATAATGGTATTCAAATGGTAAATATATGGTAGTCCCAGACAAGCATTCACTGGGCACCTGCAAAACAAGGGATCTAAACTACCACCAATTCCATAACCTTGGGATAGCAGTAAACAGCTTCTCACACTAAGGCAGAACCAACTTTCCTTATTCTTTGAATATATGTAGCATGTAAGACATTGCTTGAAATATGGTACACATCACTGCCGCTTTGTTTAAATGATTAAGATTTTGTAATGACACCGAGTAGTAAAGCAACCCCTGCTAATCTGGAGTTAGTACAGCTGATGGTTTTTATCTAGCATATCAGTGGCTTTTGTATATCAAGTGTTGCACAACTGTTTCCAGGCAGGGGTAAGATATTTTCAAAGCCATCAAGTCAATTCCGACTCATAGTGACCCTATCAGAGAGATTAAAAGTGTCCCTTTGGGTTTCTGAGGCTGCAAGTCTTTACGGGAGTAGAAAACCCCTTCTTTCTCCCTCAGAGAAGCTGAGCTGGTCGTTTTGAACTGCTGACCTTGTGGTTAGCAGCAAGCAAAAAAATCTTACTCATATTTTTGTATCATCCCAGACATTATATGCCTCCTGATGACAGTACACTCCCCAGATCACCTGCATTAAGTTGATTCCAAAATAATCCTATAGAACAGAGTAGAACTTCCCCCAAGGATTTCCAAGGTTATAAATATTTACAGAAGCAGAGTGCTACATTTTTTTTCAGTGGAACATCTGGTGAGCTTGAAATGTTGACCTTTTGGTTGACAGCTAGGAGCTTTCTCTACTTTACTGATCCACCTCAGTACATGGCAATGCCTGTGAAATAAATTTGCCGGAATTTTGAGACAGAATCTGATATCTCTAGACATAATTCCTAACTTATGGAAAATGTAGGGGACAGATGAATAATTTACAGCACTGAAATCAGTGGGAGCCACAGTTTCTTCAATAAAATTGAAGGAAAAAGGAAGAACTGGAGTATAAATCTAAAGATTAAAAGCGACCAACTATAATTTATGGATTTTATTTTTATCCTGATTTGACCAAACTAAAAAATTACATTTATGTGATAATGAAGACAATTTGAACACTGGTTATTTTACATTCGTTAGGATAATGACATTCTGGTTATCTTAGAAGTAATCCTTATTTTTAGAGATGTATCCTAGAATTTTACTCTGAAATGATACCTTGAATTTGTTTCCTAACTAATGTTTTGCGGATACTAAGTAGGTTTAAGTTATCGATGAAACAAGATTGTCTTGAGTTAGTAATTATTGAAGCTGGGTGATTATTAAATAAGTTTTCATTATATACAATTCTATTTTTGTATGATTGACATTTTCCATAATTGAAATGTTCATATTTTTATCATTAAGGTTAATCTATAAGGCAAAGGAAAAATAAGTATGACGATTTTTAGATTAAAGTCATTGGTTCTGGGATACTGCTGCTGGCCCAAGAGGTCAACTGTCCAAAAGAAAGAGGAGACATACTCTAGAGTGGCGAGTGATTTCCCTGCTGCAAAGTCATGTTAGCAGAGTTCTTCTCCCTTACTTTGACCCAAACAGGTAAAGCTACATTGCTATTGATAATTGCTGGAAGATAGAGACGACATGTTATTAAGCAGAGTTTCTAACAACACTTATAGTTCAGTTAATATCAGTGTGGAAAACTGAAAAGTGGTGTCTCTAGGGAGCCAATTTATGGAATTTTCTGAAAATCCACATGTATTCTCATTAGTTTTTAGGGGAATGTGGCTGTAGAGTTGTTGGTTGTGAATTACTTAAATTGAAAGTTTATATATCATGGCGGATGAAACAGGAAAGCAAACAGCTATCAAGATACCCGAGTGCGGTTAAACATTTTATAACTTGCCCTCACCCACTCATTGCCATCGAGTCAATTCAGACCCACAGGGACTCTCTAAGGAAAAACAGGACTGGTGCTGCGGGTTTCTATGAGTAACTTTTTAGGGAGTAGAAAACCTTACCTTTCTTCCACGGAGTAGCTGGTAGTTTCGAACTGCCGACTTTGTGGTTACCCGGACTGTGCTTAGAATTCTATAAAAGATCAAACCTTCTAGGGCAGAATTTAGTGAAACTGAGGTGAGTGAACAGATGTGTGTCTGTTCTAACTTTGTGTGGCTCAGGGAATAGCAGACATTTTAGAAAGTGAGGATAACATTGAAGACCCCCTACACACTTGCTATTGACCCTATAGGACAGGGTAGACCTGCTACTGTGGGTTTCCAAAACTGTAACTGTTTATGGGAGTAGAAAGCCTCACTTTTCTCCGCAGAGAGACTTGTGGTTTTGAACTGAAGACCTTGAAGCTTCCTCTATCTCTGCTCTGCAAATGGGTTTCAATCTTAGAGAATAAGCAGTTTTCCAGAAATAGCTGTTCCCAAGAAAGGGAGAAGTGAAAAGTCTACCTCAGAACCCTGTACCACTTACAACTGGCAAAGCTTCCAATTCCAAGTTCCCTCTGTAAGAAGGCACTATGTATTGTACAATTCTTTCCCTGGAAGTTGTTTCCTAATTTGGAGCCACAATGGTTGAGTTAGTTAATTGTGCCAGCCTGGCCGATAATCACATGTGGTGCTGGTTGAAAGGCAGAGGGATAAATGGGTGGTGAAGCCTCGCCTTTCGAGTTCTCGGGTCTCTTGTTTTGTGGTGGTTGTATCGGGTGCAGCTGCCTTAGCAGTTCCCTGCTTCAGCTTGCAAGATGGATTTCCTACAAGACATCCCCAAGGAGAAGCCGCATGGATCTATTCCGATGCAGCCCTGGGTGCTGGAGCAGCCGTGTGGAGACCCCTGCCAGTGCTGAGATGCTTACA